ATGAGTAATAGCATGGAAGGAAGGTAGGTTATACAAAATGACAAGTTTCCCGTGTAATGAATCAGAGGTTAACGTAATGAGCAGTCATAATAAAGTCGGTAACATAAGTATAAAAGAAAAATGGCATCGTATATTAGGCCATGTAAATTTTAATTATTTAACTACTTTATGCAAAAATCAACTGTTAGATGGTATACCTAGTGAGATAGGCACTGAATATATGAAATGCAAAATATGTATAGAAAACAAGATGCATAATTTGCCTTTCGAGAATAATAGAACTCGAGCCAAAGAAATTTTAGAAATTGTTCATACTGATTTAAATGGACCTCATAGAAATCTAGGTATGAATGGTGAAAAATACTTTATTACTTTTATTGATGATTACAGTAAAGCAGCCAAAGTTTTTGCAATAAAATCCAAAGATGAAGTTTATAAGTGTTTAATAGAATACATAAACGAGGTAGAAAATAAAACTGGGAAAACTATAAAAAAAACTGAGATGTGATAATGGGAAAGAATATTTAAATAGAAATATTTATCAGCTAGTCAGAGAATTTTTATAGATAAGTGTCCACCGTATGTACATGAATTAAATGGAACAGCCGAAAGATATAATAGATCAATTATGGACATAGCCAGATGTTTATTAGCAGAAGCAAAAGTAAATGTCAGATTCTGGCCAGAGGCAGTTTTAGCAGCAGCTTATCTCAAAAATAGAACACTAGCTAATACTATAGAAAGAAAGACACCTTATGAAATATTGTTCGGTAAGAAACCGAGTGCAAAATATCTTCGTATGTATGGTAGTAGGGTCTTTGTACGTGTACCAGAACAAAATAGAATTTCAAAATGGGATAGAAAAGCTGACTTGGGAATTCTGTTAGGCTATAATGAAGTTGGGTATAGAGTTTTAATTAATAATAGAATTGTGGTTGCTAGACATGTAGATATAGTAGAAAATGATATAAGATGTATAGGTCTTGATGAATGTGAAAATTCAAGTGATTCTGTAACAGGTGATAAAAATTTAGAAGATTGTTCAGAAACGGATGAACAGGAATTAAAATTAAACAAAGATGGAAATGAGTCGGATGCAGGGCAAAAACAAAATGATGATCAGGTTCAAGGATTAAGGAATTCAAGTAGAAAAAAGAAAATGCCCACTAGGTATGATGAAAACTATGTTTACAATAACTGTATCTATATTAATTATTGTAGTGCAGATAGCCCGAATAATTTTGAGGAGGCAATGAATTGTGATGAATCTGAATTTTGGAAGCAAGCAATGAATAAAGAGTTTAATTGTCTAAGTAAAAATAAAACTTGGAATTTAGTCGATCAGCCAAAGAATAAGAAAGTCTTAGATGTAAAATGGGTATATACAAAGAAATCCGAAAATAATTTTAAAGCTAGATTGGTTGTAAGAGGTTTTCAACAAAAGGGAGTAGTAGATGATATTTATTCACCAGTGGCTAAAATGCAAACACTAAAAATTTTATTGTCATATTGTTGCCAAAAGGGTTTAATTATAGAACAAATGGATGTAAAAACAGCATTTTTAAATAGTAAAGTTTTATCAGAAATTTATGTTAAACAACCAAGAGGTTATGAAAATGGTTTAAACAAAGTTTGTAAACTGGAAAAAGCGCTGTATGGTTTGCGAGAAAATCCGAGAGCATGGTATGAGTGTTTTGATGAATTTTTAAAGAAACTAGGATTTAAGCGTAGTAAATA